GCACAAGCTGGAATCAAGATTGCCGGGAGAAATATCAATAACCTCAGATATGCAGATGACACCACCCTTATGGCAGAAAGTGAAGAAGAACTAAAGAGCCTCTTGATGAAAGTGAAAGAGGAGAGTGAAAAAGTTGGCTTAAAGCTCAACATTCAGAAAACTAAGATCATGGCATCTGGTCCCATCACTTCATGGCAAATAGATGGGGAAACAGTGGAAACAGTGGCTGACTTTATTTTTCTGGGCTCCAAAATCACTGCAAATGGTGATTTCAGCCATGAAATTAAAATACACTTACTCCTTGGAAGGAAAGTTATGACCAACCTGGACAGCATATTAAAAAGTAGAGACATTACTTTGCCAACAAAGGTCCATCTAGTCAAGGCTATGGTTTTTCCAGTGGTCATGTGAGAGTTGGACTATAAAGAAAGCTGAGCACTGAAGAATTGATGGTTTTGAACTGTGGTGTTGGAGAAGACTCTTAAGAGTCCCTTGGACTGCAAGCAGATCCAACCAGTCCATCCTAAAGGAGATCAGTCCTGAATATTCATTGGAAAGACCGATGTTGAAGCCGAAACTCTTCCTTTGGCCACTGATCCAAAAAGCTGACCTATTTGAAAAGACCCTGATGCTGGGAAAGATTGAAGGCAGGAAGAGAAGGGGATGACAGAGGATGAGAAGATTGGATGGCATCACTGACTCAATGGACATGAGTTTGAGTAAGCTCCAGGAGTTGATGATGGACAGGGAGGCCTGGCAAGCTGCAGTCCATGGGTTCGCAGAGTCAGACATGACTGAGCGACTGAACTGAACTGTACATCAACTATACCTCAATAGTGTGTTGTTAGTTACTCAGTTGTGTCTGACTCTTTGCAACTGCATGGAGTGTTAGTTCACCAGGATCCTCTGTCCATGGGATTCTCCAGGTAAGAATACTGGAGTAGGTAGCTATACCCTCTCCAAGGGATCTTTCTGACTCAGGGATCAAAACCAGGTCTACTGCATTGCAGGCAGAATTCTTTACCATCTGAACCACCAGGGAAGCCCTATACTTCATTAAAATATATATAATACTAAAAATAAAATGTTTTAGAGAGTAGAAAAATCAATCAATTTCAAATTGAACAACCCAAAAAGTATGTGCAATAAAAATAGCTCCAGGAATAGATTAACATTACTAGAGTTATTAAATAGTTGCAGGAATGATGTTTACTCTTAAAAAATAAAAAGTAAATTTATTAGGATGTTTGTGCTTGTTTTGAATTTTCTCAGCTAGCCTAATACAAAGACATTTTTCAGCGCTGGAGTTCACTGGAAACAGAATAGAAACTCCTAAAAGTCTAGACAATAAAAGCACATCTGTGTTGCCCAGGGTCTTTTCCAGTGAGTGGGTTCTTTGCATCAGGTGTCACGATGGGAGACATCATGGGTCATGGTGAAGAGTTCTGACAAATGTGGTCCACTGGAGAAGGGAATGGCAAACCACTTCATTATTCTTTCCTTGAGCACCCCATGAACAGTATGAAAAGGCAAATAGATATGATACTGAAAGATGAACTCCCCAGATCGGTAAGTGTCCAATATGCTACTGGAGAACAGTAAAGAAATAACTCCAGAAAGAATGAAGAGATAAGAGTCAAAGCAAAAACACCACCCACTTGTGGATGTGACTGGTGATGGAAGTAAAGTCTGATGCTGTAAAGAACAATACTACATAGGAACCTGGAATATTAGATCCATGAATCAAGGCAAATTGGAAGTGGCCAAACAGGAGATGGCAAGAGTGAACATCAACATTTTAGGAATTAGCAAACTAAAATGGACTGGAATGAATGAATTTAACTCAGGTAGCCATTATATCTATGTGGGCAATAATCCCTTAGAAGAAATGGAGTAGCCATCATAGTCAACAAAACAGTCTGAAATGAAATTTTTGGGTGCAACCTCAAAAATGACAGAATGATCTCTACTCGATTCCAAGGCAAACCATTCAATATCACAGTAATCCAAGTGTATGCCCCAACCAGTAATGCTGAAGAAGCTGAACAGTTCTATGAAGACCTATAAGATCTTCTAGAACTAACACCAAAAAAGATGTCCTTTTCATTACAGGGGACTCAAATGCAAAAGTAGAAAGTCAAGAGATACTTGGAATAACAGGCAAATTTGGCCTTGGAGTGCAAAATGAAGCAGAGCAAATGTTAAAGAGTTTTGCCAAGAGAATGCACTGGTCATAGCAAATACCCTTTTCCAACAAAACAAGGGAAGACTCCACAGGTGGACATCACCAGATGGCTGCAATATTAAATATTATTAAATCCCTGGTAACAGGCTGAACTCATGCTCCTGCACTTGGTGTAAGTGAACACAGAATGACTACACCTAGTTAATCTATTAGACCGCTATAAAGACATGACAATCAAGATCTTGAGAAAATTAGAGAAACACTGTATTTGTAATTGAGTTTATAACCTATTGGGCTTCCCAGGTGGCACTAGTGGTAAAGAACCTGCCTGCCAATGCAGGAGACTAAAAGACGCAGGTTTGATCCCTGAGTCAGGAAGATCCCCTGGAGGCGGGCATGGCAACCCACTCCAGTATTCTTGTCTGGAGAACCCCCATGGACGTGGGAGCCTGGAGGGCTCCAATCCAGAGTCACAGAGTTGGACAGGGCTGAAGCGACTTAGCACACATGCCCATACAACCTTTATGTGAACATAAGCAGATCACACTTTTACAGAAAATTTTCAGTTGAGTGAAACCAAATGCTAACCTATGCTGACAGGTAATTTCCAAATATTTTCACTAAAATATTTCATATTCATTAAGAAAAGCTGGTATCTTCCATATTTATGGTTATAAATCAAAACATTCCAATATAAACTTGTGCTTATCTAAAGATAAGTTACCTTCATTTCCTGTATTGGCCAAAACTAAGAAAGACAACAGAATGAGAAAAATTCCTTATTAAAAACTTTAATATAAACTGTACGCTGATGAGAAATACAAAATCATAAATTTATTGAGGATTATTGTTTTAACCACATGCCCTAAAACATGCCAAGATATTATAAGTGACTATATGCAGTATCAAGCTTTTAGCTTTTTGTTACTCGGCCATTAGGCCAACCAGAAAAGCATCTACTATCCAAACAAATTTATTTGGGAACCGTGAAATTTTTGTTTTATAGTTAATTCTGCTAAGATCAGCCAGAAATGAGTTTTAATCTAACTTAAGAAAAAAAAAAAAAGGTGGGGAGAGACCTATTACCAAATAATTGAGTCTCTTTGCAGTAGTTAACTATGTGCAAATATTCAGCCAGGTCCTGCAAATCTGTAGTACCATCTATGTATAATAATTTTTCATCATTTTAATAAAGGATATACTAGATATTACTTGGAAAAGAAAATGGCAACCCACTCCAGTACTCTTGCCTAGAAAATCCCATGGACAGAGGAGCCTGGTGTCCATGGGGTCGCAAAGAGTCAGACACGACTGAGCGACTTCACTTAGATATTACTATATTAAAAAAAAAAAAGATATTACTATATTAAATCTAAGTTTTGTTCAAACTGTATTAAAACATTATAAAGGGAATTTAAGATCATATAATTATAACAGTGTAATTAATGGTTTTATTTATTAGGCTTCCCCAGTGGCTCACCAGTAAAGAATCTGCCTCCTGCAACACAGGAGATGTGGCAGGAGGCACGGGTTTCAAAGATTAAATAAAATAACAAAAGTATAAAGATTTTTTTCAACTCCCCTAGTAACTTGTTACTTTTGTTCCACTTTGATATCTTTGGAGTAGAAAAAAACTTTTAATGCAAATCTTTTTAAACAAAATAACGACTGTAAAAATGGAGAAAGTCCACAAATCTGGATTTTACATTGACTCAGAAATTTTCAAAACTTTGACATTAGCATGATATATAAAAGCCTCCACTAAAATACAAAACTGACTTTTCCCTTGGAAAACATAAAACAATATTGAAGAAATTAAGTGTATTTTAAGACCGATTTCTCTGAGTTTGTCAGGAAACACATCTATGATGATTAAATTTTATGGCTGTTAAAAATTCTTTTCAAAAAGCAACACAATTAAGTTAAAATTTTCAAGACTCCCCCCCAAATTTTTAAAAACAGGAACTACTACCTTGATAACCTACACAAATCATCTCATCTTACGTTCTTCCTCTACTTTCTTATTCATTTCTCGACATTATTTTTCCTTCCCTTTTTCTCAGAGCAATTTCTGAAAATCACTGGTACCTGTCAGCTACACCCCGTTCAATTTGAATCTTCCTTGAGGTTCTATCTCACCTCAAGAGCAACTCTGAATTCAGTAAGCCATATGAAAAGCAACTGATCCCAAACACGGATTAAAAAACAAATACATTCTAGTATACACCAGTATGTTACATATCCCAACACAGGTTAACAGTAAAAACAACTAAGCATTCAATACTTATTTGAGGGGCTTAAATTAAAAAGTTTTAATATCAGAATCTGGCCCTAAGCTTTCAACTTCATTCTAATCAAAGAGTTAAAACAGGTAAAAATAAACTGAGTCACTGTATTGGACCCCATCAACCAAGGCATAAAGTCTAATTAAGTGCAAAATGGTTTCCCAAGAGTGGTTTTTAATTCTGTCCTGGTAACCAATTTTCTATCAGATGTCTACCATTACACAACTGTAACAGCTTTCATAAAGTCACCAGTAGGAAATCACATTTCTTTCAGAAATCTACCTCAAACACTCACATCCTCCCGGTCAAGAACTAAATATAACCTCTTCCTCTGTCCCTTAAGCATTCCATTTCTTTCCTGAAGTAGAGCTTCTGTAAATATTGCAACATTAAGGAATAAATTTTAATGAATACAAATCAGAGATTATGAAGGAACATTAGCTTCCATTAAAGCTTTCCTTTAAAAAAAGTGTTTCCAAGTTATATTTTTTAATTCCCCCATGATTCTCTTTAAAAGAATGAACACAAAATTTCTCTGCTAATGACTTTATTCATGAATCTATAATGGAACTCAAAATAGCAAAAAACATGAAAAACTTCAGGTTAATATTTGTCAACCAAATACATCAAAGAATATTTATATAACTAACAAATATCTCTAAAATGCACATGTGAAAATACAAATATTCTTCACCTTGTGGAATTTCAAAGTAACAAAGATCTGCTTAACATAGCTGGCCACAATAGCCCAATTATACTGACAGATATATATAATGCAAAAGAAATCAACGTACCTGAAAAATAAACATCACATGGTTAATCTTTTGGTAAAGTGCTACTTTCATATGGAAAAAAGAATTTATGAAGATTACAAAAAGTTCATGTTATACCATCATTCTCAAAGTGCCAAAATTTCTCAGTATTCACTACGTTCATCACATTTGTATGTCCCCAATGAGAGACCATAAACATTATTTTGCAATCTTTTTGTTCACACATTATTTCCTGGAAGCTAAAAATCACCACTCCATTGCTAAATAAAACTTTTCACTCATATAAGACTATTTTAGACACAGTAATTCTTCATTGTTTTAAATATGATCTTTGGTTTAAAGCTGTCCTGATAGCCTTTCTAGTTGGACTGTAGTTAGTAAAATATTTATAAAACAGTACAGTAGCTTCATTTGAACCACAAAAGTAAACTGGATCAGAGGCCTAAACGCAATGAATGGCACATATCAAGATGTCTAGAATGATGAGTTCCCCAAATTAGTAACTGACAAGGTCAATATCAAAGGAAATTAGTATTGCTGAAGAGTGGCTCATCTCTTTTCATCAAAGACCTCTATCAATTCATAACAGTATTAGCCACTGAGAGAAAATTAGTTGGAAAAAAAATCTAACCTGAAGGCACACAGGTGCAAATCTTAAGCAGATAAATAAAACCAACTAAACTGCATATGCACACATGGGTATGTCCAAGTATATACACACTTCTCTGTGTGAAGCTGAATACCAGCACTATGGATCTTCTACCAGATAGGAAGCTCTATGCCTGTGTGTGTATATACCCTAGAGGTCAGACTAGCTGATGGGTTTTCCAGAAAAAAGTGAGACTTTAAATGATGCAAAACTTAGCCTTTCTTCAAAACAGAAGGTTTTAAATTAATAGCAAAGGAATGCAATAACAATGGAAACTGTAAGAAGCCATCAAGTTAAATCTCAGAAAGGACAAGATCAACTTCATAACTGAAGGCTGCCGATTTCTTCTCTCTCCCCTTGAATAATCAAATGCAAATACCTTTTAGCAATGGCAGCATTCAAATCCCACAAAAAGTCAAGGAGTGCACCTTTAAGGAGCACCTCCATTGGCACAAACTGTAAAACCTGCTGGGGTGCCTCAGCATTAACCAAATCTCTCAACAATTCATTCACATTTTGCAGATACTGAAAAAATGGGTTTGGAAGATCCTGATAACCAACACAAAGCAGGACTGCACAAGTTTTCAGGGGCTCAGAGGATATGGGACAAGAAAATGTGATGAATCTAAAACAGCTGTGGAGTACAAAGATCAAACCAGCCATAAACCTTGTAAAACAAGAAAGTATAGGCAAAATCATAACATCTCCTGTATGAAGCTGTTGCAATGAATGTAGTATGCAGTCCAAAAATAACTGCTGGTAAGTGGGGTCTCCATCATGAAGCAATGAACAGCTAAAAGTCATGAGTGCAGCTGATTCCAAGAGTCGAACTTCCAATGGTATGTGCATTTTGATATTATGGAGAGCTGGGAAACCCACTAGCAGGCACTTTATCTGGGTGCTGGGTTCTTCATCCTGATGATCCTGAAGGCACTTGGTAAGGCTAAACAATTCAGAAAATATCAATTCTTCAGAAAAAACATGACAAGAACAACAATGCTGCTGTTTTGGCCTAAACTTAAGATCAAAATTCAAGGCTCCTCCTAATGACTTTTCAACTGCTTCATTAAGAGCCTTTAAAATCTCACCATCACAGAAAGGAGAACACTTTACCTTTGGCAATTTCTTTCCCTGTAAAACCTGCCATAAGTGACACTCAAGATTGAAAGCTGTCCCTTCCAAAACAGAACTTTGCCCAGGATGATATGTAGCATGTTCTTCAGCCCAACTGTTAAAGTACCCTTTGGCCACCTTATCTTTCCAGGAAAGGGTTTCTAGCATTTTCCTTTCATTGTAGGTTTTAAAATATTTGTTTCTCTGCCCAAACCATTTTGTATTTGTACTGCAGCCAATGTTAGATTTTTTCACTAGCCAGTTATTTCTGGAAAGAGGCTTCAATTGAAACTTTTGCATGAAATACTGAACAGCATAGTTCCTTAAACTATTCAACTTTGCTTGCTCCCCTTTTCCCATGTACTCAAACAGACGAATGTTCTCAGAAATAGTCTCTAGTTGGTATTTATGAAAGAACATGCAACATTCTTCATGTTTTCTAAGAAAAGATTCTGGAATCATGTGATGGGGAAAGAGAGCTTTCTTGGTCATTTCAGACCCAAAATTCAGCACCATCTTAGATAAAAGAGGATAGATTGTCTCTCTGCCCTTATAGTAGAGACATACCACATAGACTTCTGAGTTTCCTGCCTTGCTAGTAGCTGGTTTGAAAACATGAACTTGATCAAAAGAACAGTTTAGTAGGTACATAAGATTTATGGAACAATGTTCAAACAAAGTAAACATCTTCAGAACAAAAGAGCCACCATTTCCAAGGGTCGTCAGAGCAGTGACAGCTTCACAGTAATGCAAACAAGAGACTAAAGCTTCTTGTTCACCTGGGTTTCCTTGGCAATCAAAACTTCCATCTGCAGTGATCAAGTGAATGGTACCCATACTGCTTATGAAATTCTGAAGTCCAGTCAGATATTTCAAGGTCATGATATCACCAGTGTTATCTGGACCAAAGTACCAGCAACGCAAGGTATTTGCAATAAGTCGGTCATCCATAATCATCGTAAGATTGTCATTTGCCTCATGGTAAGGATTCAGAGTATTAGCTACCCAATTCCAATCACAGGGTAATCGGTGGGATTTTAAGTAGTGATTGAGACTAGCTATAAAAGCTCCAGGAGCTTCACAAAGGTGTAGAGAATTCAGTTTTCCATTCTGAAAAGCTTCCTGTGGAATAAGTGGAAAGCTGCACAAAATTTCATGAAACTTACACCATGCTTGAGTACAAAGTTCAGCATTTACAGATTTTCTCACATGAGAAATTATTTTCCCAGCTTTGTTAGTGAAAGCCGTGTGCTCATGCCACTCATCCAATTTCTTATCACTCAGTAGGTTTTTCACTTCATTTAGGGAGTTCTTCAAATCAAGGAATGCACCGAATTCCATGTGGTCACAGGTGAAAATCTCACTGGGATCTGGTAACTGCCATTCATTATTAAGTGGTTTGTCATAAGAAAAGTTCTTGGCAAAGAGTTCAAAAATGTCAGCAAGAACATCTGGGCTGAATGTCTCAGGACTTGAACCCAGTGGTTGCTTTCTGCACTTACTCATTTTCAAATCAAATCAAAATCTAGAAAAAGAAAACACACAATTAAGTGAATCAAATTTTATTAGTGAGTGAAGTCTAATCCACAGCAAACTGGATCACAATCATGACAAATCACATAAAATAGGTAGACTAATGTGAGTACAATTCATTACATATTGAGGCAATTTGGAATAAAGAAAGAATAAAAGCACTGATGTCCAATAAACCTAGGCTCAAATTCCAGTACTGTTATTTACAGCTTAGTAAAGTGGCCACGGGCAAATAACTTTACATCAGTTTCTTCTTTAAAAACTTGAGGTATTATTTTTTAAGATGAGGATGAAACATGTTAGCATACACGAAAGAACATTCATCACTGAATGGCAGCTCCTATTACCAAAGTAACACACCTAGTTCCTCCCCAAAGTTCTGTACCCATGGCTGAGACACCACCCACAGGGACCCAAACACATGCTTAGAGGAAGATTTATCCTTTTGCTCAAACTACTAACAAGTGACTTTTAGCCCTGTTTTTTAGCTCCCTCCAAATCTCACTTCCTTCCAGGAGAGATTCCAGCACCTGAACCCAGCATGGCTCCTGCTATGACCTCTCTGCCCCCACCCACTTAAACTCACCTATGAGGACTGCCAACTATGTCCTCTGTCCAGGTTTGACTCCTGCTAAGTCATGCACTTTGGTGGTACCAAATCACCTTTACAGGCCACCAACCAGCAAACACCCGTCACCATACTACTTGTCAACTGTGGTGAACTTGACAGGCTAGCCTCTCGCTCAATGCTGAAACTGACCTATAGTTCACCCTGGCATGTCTCTAAACTTCCTGCCTCATAAGGTTGGTCAGACAGCTCCATATTTATTTATATTATAAAATATTATCTTTTTATTGCCACAAAAACTTAATATACTTTCATAGAATAATTTTAAACTGAAGAAATATCCTTAATGAATATATAAATTACAAATAGTCACTCTACATTCTGTGCTCTAACACTGTCTAAGAAACCAAAAACATCTGTCCACTGGAAACGAAAAGGGATGCAAGTTAAGGAAGAAAGGCTTAACGGCATAATGTTGAAAAAGTTCTAAATTCCAGCAGAGACAGCAATGAGTATTAGATGGTACTTGTTGGCACAGTGTTAATCAACAGGTGCTTCAGTTCATGACTTCTGGGTTTATTTAGCATATTCAATACATTCTACATCAGTATGAAGATTAAAACAGGAGATAAAAGATGAGTGAGCACCACAATAAACAATAACAAAAGAAGACTGTATTCCATTAGCATTTACTTTGTACTCAAAATACTTTTTCATCCTTTTATATTTTGTTTAAATTACTTACAAGTCTGTCTGTGCCATTCTGTGCTCAGTCGCTCAGTCATGTCTGACTCTTTGCGACCCCATGGACTGTAGCCCGCCAGGCTCCTCTGTCCATGCGGATTCTCCAGGCAAGAATGCTGGAGTGGGTTGCCATGCCCTCCTCCAGGGGATCATTCAAACCCAGGGATTGAACCCAGGTCCCCAGCATTACAAGCAGATTCTTTACCGTCTGAGCCACCAGGAAACCCCAAGAGCTTGCAAACTTCCTGAAGTAACAATTATCTTAGTCATTTCTGTTTGCCACAGTATATTTACCCCAAAATTGTGGATAACAGTCACAATAACCTACTAATATATTTTTCTTACCTTAGGTCTATTTTTTTTTTTTTTTACTGTTAGAATATTTAGACAAATTTCTGACAGAAAGCAAAAAGGAAGCATTTTCACATTCACTAAAATTTTAATTAAAAGTAAATGCACAAGGACTACAACAAGTTATTCTGTCCTAATTCACACTTTGCTTACTGGAAACTACAACTTTTAGATTTCAACTATATTCTATTTTGGAAAAAGTCTGACTTTAGTCATTAACTTCACATACCAATTAATGGCTATAAGTAAGCTCTGAAATCTTACCTAAGCTAATACGTAATTACTTTCACAGGAGAACAACTAAAGTGGTTCAAACACTCCACTGTTCTCCCCGCCTATACTTGTGGAACATGGACCAAAATTATATATTATATATTTATATATAAACTGTATATCATGTTGAAAAATGTTCAGGTTGATAACACACAACTTATCCAAACGTTGTTTCCTACAAATTCCCAGAATCCAGCTGCTTCGCACTCACTCCAACTACCAACCTTCTGATTAGAAACACGTATCAACTCTTTTCTGAACTACTGCCACAGCCGTCTCACTCCTCTCTTTGCTTCTACCCTTGCCTCCGCCATTCTATTCTGAAACACACCCACCAGAGTAACTCTGAAAAACCTTAGATTGTAGGGCTGCTGTGCTGTCACGGCTCCCCGTTTCACTCCGAGTAAGTGCCAAAGTCTTTACAATAGTCTACAAGGCCCTAGAAGATGTCTGTTCTCCAGCCCCAGCCCATAGCTAACCTAATTTTCTCCTACTACCCCTTTTTTTCATTGTGTTTCAGCCCCACAGGCTCTCTTGCCATTCACTTAAAAGCCCAGACACAACAGCAAGGGGAGTCTTTGGACAGTCAGTCCCTCCACCTGGAATGCTCTTCCCTTCCCTTATCTCCTTCAAGGATTTACAGAAGTGTCATTTTTTCTGTGAAGCCTCTGACATTCTAATTTAAAATTGCATCTCCCATTAACAATGGTAGAGGTAAGAACTTTGCTGTCTTTTCCTATGACACTCTTTCCTTCTAACATGTGAAAGTGAAAAAGTGAACGTGAGGTCACTCAGTCGTGTCTGACTCTTTGCGACCCCCATCGACTGTGGAGCCTACCCTGGAAGTTTTCCAGGCAAGAGTACTGGAGTGGGTTGCCATTTCCTTCTCCAGCGGATCTTCCCGACCCAGGAAATGAACCCGGGTCTCCGGCATTGTAGGCAGACGCTTTACCATCTGAGCCATCAGAGAATTTACTTATTTATGTTTACTATTTTTTATGTCTTCCCAAAACTACAACCTAAGCTTCAATGGGCAGGGATCTTTGTTTTCTTTACTCACTTATTAAGAAGTTAGAACAGTACACAGAAAGCATTCAGTAAGTATTCATGGAATAACTAAAGGGATTTCAGACTAGCCCAAAAGGCGTGCCTCTGATCAGGTTCTGAATATAAGTCTTAGCAAAGAACTTCAACGTCACTCTAGCACCTCACACAAAACAAAAACAAAAGTGCATATGGTTTACAAGATACAAGGAAAAAGTTTTCAGTATGATCCTCTGGAAAAGGTTTCTCTGTCCCTCTTATGAAGCACTCCATAAAGCTTTGTGGCATCATCATTCAGCTACGAGGGTCAGTATTACCATTGCTGTTTTGCAGAATTGAGTAGGAAGTCATGTACCCCCTGCCCAAAGCCACGAAGGGAATACCCGCAAAATTCACCGGCCTAACACAAAGTCTCATTAATAGCTGTTACTCCTCCAGTTAACACTTGCAAAGAAATTTTAGAAGAGGTGCCAACAGCTCCACCTCCTCACAGCAACAGCGAAAATAATGCCCAGTGTGTATCCAGTGCCTTACTTTGCGCCAGGGGCACCCCAAATCTCGTTTCCTCTAGGTGGAAATTAGTTTCAAGCTCCATTCGAGCGGCCCAGTCCCTGACCCTGAGGAAACAGCCCAAGACTCTGCCTAATCCACTGGAAAGTCGAAGGAAGACCCGGGTTCGGAAAGTGGGCCTGAATTACCTTCGCTCACGCCCACCTCAGCCCCCAGAGTCTAGAGAGGCTGCGCTTCACTCGCTCTCCTCACTCAAGGAGGGTATTCTCCACTTCCACTCCTGGGGATGATTCCCAAGAGCATCGCTACTGCAGGTCTTCTGAGCCCTGGCACAGGGATGGGAGGTGGCGCGCCGGAAGGTCGAGAAGGAGGCAGGAGCGGCCCTAGGAACACGCAGAGCGGGAGCACAACTGCAGCCCGCACCGCCGCTAGACTCCGGCGAACGGAGGCCCAAAAGCCCTAACACACGCACTGCGCGTGCGCCTCAAGGCTGAGCTGACGTCTTACGTCAACGTTACGCACGTCGGCGATGCTCGTAAGAGACCTCTGCTCTCTCGGTTTCGTTTCTCCGCTGGGTGCTGAATCTGGGAAGCGCCAGCCTCCCGCCCAACGGTCGCTATGGCAACTGCGCGCTCAAACCGAGCGTCCTTTGGCCCCGCCCCCCGAGGGTGGAGGCGTGGAATGGGGCGAGGACAACCTGTCCCGGACACGCTGGCCCCGCCCACCTGGGCCCTGGACGCCCGAGGTTCTCTCGCTTTGGGGTAGAGTTTATCTTTTAGCAGAAAGAAAATGAGGTTAAAAAGCCAAACTAGGGAAACTACAAAAATACTGTTATCATGGCATACATATATTTATAAACGAGTAAAACAACCTTCCTTCTAGATAGCATATTAAAAAGCAGAGACATTACTTGGCCGACAAAGGTCCATCTGGTCAAGGCTATGGTTTTTCCAGTGGTCATGTATGGATGTGAGAGTTGGACTGTGAAGAAAGCTGAGCGCCAAAGAATTGATGCTTTTGAACTGTGGTGTTGGAGAAAACTCTTGAGAGTCCCTTGGACTGCAAGGAGATCCAACCAGTCCATCCTAAAGGAGATCAGTCCTGGGTGTTCATTGGAAGGACTGATACTGAAGCTGAAACTCCAATACTTTGGCCACCTCATGCGAAGAGTTGACTTATTGGAAAAGACCCTGATGCTGGGAGGGATTGGGGGCAGGAGGAGAAGGGGACAACAGAGGATGAGATGGCTGGATGGCATCACCGTCTCGATGGACATGAGTTTGAGTAAACTCCGGGAGTTGGTGATGGACAGGGAGGCCTGGTGTGCTGCGATTCATGGGGTCACAAAGAGTCGGACACGACTGAGCGACTGAACTGAACTGAAGACAAGCTTCTCGGAGAAAGAAATGGCAACCCATTCCAGTACCCTTGCCTAGAAAAATCCCATGGACAGAGGAGCCTGGTAGGCTACAGTCCATGGGGTCGCAAAGAGTCGGACATGACTGAGCGACTTCACTTTCACTTTTCACTTTCATAAGACAACCTCAAAGAAAAATGGGAGACGATTGAACAAGCCATTCAAAAAAGCAAAACAACCGATAAGGATATAATGCAAAGCTATTTGGGCTTCCTGATAGCTCAGTTGGTAAAGAATTTGCCTGCAATATGGGCGACCTGGGTTGGGAAGATTCCCTGGAGAAGGAAAAGGCTACCCACTCCAGTATTCTGGCCTGGAGAATTCCATGGACTGTATAGTCATATACATATAACCTGTATATAGTTATATATAGGTTATATAGATATATATAGGTTATATATATATATGTATAGTCCATGGGGTTGCAAAGAGTTGGACACAACTCAGTGACCTTCACTTCACAAAGCTATTTGACTTTAAAAAAAATAATAAATAAGGTTTATTTTCACTAGTTTAAAAGATCAGAAATGGCTATTGGTGAGAATATGGAGAAACAAGTTTACATATTTTAGGGGAGAGTGAAAACTGTTACTACCTTACAGAGCACAAGGGCTTCCCTGGTGGCTCAGCTGGTGAAGAATCTGCCTGCAGTGTGGGAGACCCGGGTTCAATCCCTGGGTTGGGAAGATCCCCTGGAGAAGGGAACGGCTACCCACTCCAGTATTCTGGCCTGGAGAATTCCATAGACTGTACAGTCCATGGGGTAGCAAAGAGTTGGACATGACTGAGCAACTTTCACTTTCACTTTTACAGAAGGCAAACTTTAAAATAACCTTGCACCTTAGCCCAACAATTCCCACTCCTAGCAATTTAGCTTTAGAAAACAACTGGCACTCACTTTGGGAAAAAATGTTTATCATAGCATCTTAATAACATAAATAACAATACTGGAGCCTATTAAACAAAATGAAGTAAATCAGAAAGAGAAAAATAAATATTGTACACTAACACATATATATGCGCTTCCTTGGTAGCTCAAGTGATAAAAAATCTGTCTGCAGTGCAGGAGACTGGGTTCGATCTCTGGGTTGGGAAGATCCCTTAGAGAAGGGAATGGCAACCCACTCCAGTATTCTTGCCTAGAGAATTCCATGGACAGAGGACCCTGGCAGGCTACAGTCCATGGGTCACAAAGAGTTGATCACAACTCAGTGACTAACACTACTATGCAACCATTAATAGGTTATATATGCCAAAAGTGTCATATGAAAATAGAATATAGAACTAGATGTGGAGTTTGACCCATTTATGTCATATATATACATATATGTGTGTGTGTGTGTGTGTGTGACACACATACAAATTTTACAACTCTTCCAGCATATGCATCAGTGGAGAAAAGTCTTTTCAAAAAAGATAAATAAATAGTGGGGCTTCCCTGGTGGTCCAGTGGTTAATAATCCACCTGCCAATGTAGGAGGCATGGGTTTGATCCTTGATCAGGGAAGGTCCCACATGTGACAGGGCAACTAAGACTGTGTGCCACAACTACTGAAGCCCACACATCTAGAGCCTGTGCTTTGCAAAAAGAGAAACCACTGCAATGAGAAGCCCCTGCTCACCACAGCTAGAGAAAGCCCTCACGCAGTAACAAAGACCTCATGCAGTCAAAAACAAATAAATAAATAATCTTTTAAAAAAGGATGCTAGGACATTTGAATATCTATTTTATATGGAAAAGACTTCACCTGGACCCTTCAGTCAGTCAGTCAGTTCAGTCACTCGGTCGTGTCCGACTCTTTGTGACCCCATGAGTTGCAGCACACCAGGCCTCCCTGTCCATCACCAACTCCCAGAGTTTACTCAAACTCATGTCCATCGAGACGGTGATGCCATCCAGCCATCTCATTCTCTGTTGTCCCCTTCACCTCCTGCCCCCAGTCCCTCCCAACATCAGGGTCTTTTCCAATGAGTCAACTCTTCACATGAGGTGGCCAAAGTATTGGAGTTTCAGCTTCAGTATCAGTCCTTCCAATGAACACCCAGGACTGATCTCCTTTAGGATGGACTGGTTGGATCTCCTTGCAGTCCAAGGGACTCTCAAGAGTCTTCTCCAACACCACAGTTCAAAAGCATCAATTTTTCGGTGCTCAGCTTTCTTCACAGTCCACCTCTCACATCTGGACTCATTTCACATAATAAACAAAAACAGATTTCATTTGGATTGTCAATCTATATTTTAAAGGTCAAACAATAACTCTTAGCAGAAAATATAAGAGAACATCTTCATAGTGTTGAAATAGGCAAAAAGCTTATAACGGGACAGAAAAGGCACTAATCATAAAATATATATATATATACATAAATATACACTAAAATTAAGAATGTTTATTCATCATAAGACAGCACTGAGAGTGAAGGGGAGATATATATATATATATATATATATATGTATATTTACCATACACATATGAGACAGAGGATTGCATCCAGAGTATATATCTCCTAAAACAAATGAGAAAAGACGTCCCATTAGGAAAATGGGCAAAAGACAAGAACAAAAACTTCAAAAAGATGATATCCAAAAGGTCAATAAACATAAACACATGCTCAACTCCATTAGCCATTGGAGAGATGTAAACCAAACCCATAATGAAACAGCTACACACTGACTAGCTAAAATGAAACCCTGAACATATAACGGTTGGAGAGTTTGAGGGGCAACCAATGCAAAGTTGTTTGGAAGAAAAAAGATCTTCCAAGATCTTCCTAACTCACCAGTTGGTTGCCATTTCTAGAAAATTTTCCAGGTATAATTTTATTCCAGAAAGTTCCCTCGAGCCCCTTCCCAATCAATCTCCCACCTCCAAGAAGCAAACACTGATCTGTTTTCTAACCCTATATTTTAGTTTTGCCTATTCTAAATGTCATATAAATTCTGTCATTACTGTCTAATTTTAGTTTGCAGCCCCTTTCCACTCACTGTAATTTTTTTTTTTTTTTAGTATTGTAGGGGAGGAAAAAAACTTTCTTTTACTAGTCTAGGATTCTTGGCTTGGGCTCTGTAACTAAAGATAGATTAAAAAGATAAAAGCATATAAATTTATTAATGTTTTTCCTTCACAAGGAAATGAGGATCTGAAAGACACTGCTTTTACTAGTCTAGGATTCTTGGCTTGGGCTCTGTAACTAAAAATAGATTAAAAAGATAAAAGCATATAAATTTATTAATGTTTTGCATGACAAGAGAGCCTTCACAAGGAAATGAGGATCTGAAAGACACTGTTTTTCACACTAGGTTTAAACCTGAATGTTTTTATACTAGATTTGATAAGAAGTAGAATGTCGTGGGAAAGTGTGACGAATGAGTCTGAGCTAAGAATGAAAAAGCTGGTTTGAAACTCAACATTCAGAAAATAAGATCATGGCATCTGTTCCCACCACTTCATGGCAAATAGATGGGGAAAAGTGGAAGCAGTGACAGATTTTATTTTCTTGGGCTGTGATTTCCAAAATCACTGTGGACGGTGACTCTAGCCATGAAATTAAAAGATGCTTGCTCCTTGGAAGAAAAACTATGACAAACCTAGAAAGAGTATTCAAAAGTGGAGACATCACTGTGCCAGGAAAGATCTGTATAGTCAAAGCAATGGTTTTCCCAGTAATCATGTATGGATGTGAGAGTTGGACCATAAAGAAGGCTGAGCACCGAAAAAATGATGCTTTCAAATTGTGTTGCTGGAGAAGACTCTGGAGAGTTCCTTGGACTACTAAGAGATTGAACCAGTCAATCCTAAAGGAAATCAGCCCTGAATATTCACTGGAAAGACTGATGCTGAATCTCCAATAATTTGGCCTCCTGATGCAGAGAGCTGATTCATTGGTAAAGACCTTGATGCTGGGAAAAATTGAAAGCAAAGGGGGAAGGGGCGGTGGCAGAGGATGAGATGGTTAGATAGCATCACTGACTCAATGGACATGAATTTGAGCAAACTCCAAGAGATAGTGGAGAACAGAAGAGCCTGACATGCTGTGGTCCATGGGGTCACAGATAGTCGGACATGAGTTAACAACTGAACAACAACAAGAAGAGTACTAAACTGGGGAAATTCTAACAAGGTATGCTTATCCAGATTCCTCTTGGTGTCCT